TATCATACTGATTTTAGACATTCAAACCCAATACTAATGAATTCACACGTATACACGTATATTGTCCTTTAAAAAAGGCATAGAAATTCAGGGGATTTCTCACACAGTTTAAGTCTTGCAAAATGTGGAAGTTCTTGCCGATGTCTGGTGCTGTCTTCACTTTAGTGCATACTTGCACCTTAATGCAGAGTGCCTCACATTAATGAATTTCCTGCTAAAACCCTAATTCTTCAGCTGTTATTCTTGTGTGGTACATTTAGAAATGAAAACAAAATAACATTAGTGCCTCTAGCTCAGGAAAACTGAATGTGTGCTATATGATATGCTATAAAGATGCTCGCCTTTGGGAAACTGCCTGCTAATTCACTTTGCAGACCACGGGATTGTGTAGATCCAAGTCACTTTCACAGCCTTCAGCCAGAAGCTCTGTACTGCTGTACCATGTCAGTGCTGTCCTGAACGGGCCCACAGGTAACTCCAGGGTGTAAATAATGCAGCATAACAATAACAGCTTGGATGGTGACAAGAGATTAAGATGATTTTGATCCATCCTCAGACATCTGGTAAAAAAGCAAAAGGCAGTCCCTTCGAGCACTGACAGTTTATAACTCCAGTCTCCACCTCAGGCATTAGCCTGTGTCCAACCTGGACCAAGGACTTTGTCTTGGTCACTGAGCAAACACTGAGGTGGTTTAAAATACACACATCTCTTGTCTCTTGCCCCTGTTTATTTATATTGCCCTACTTCTAGGAGTTACCACCTAAAAATAGCGGCAGAAGACTGCTCCACTTCATAGTCTGGTGTTTCGGCAGGAACTGTGCTCCACCTGTGACCTGAGACGGGATGCTGCAACACGGAGCAGGGCCCCCGGGCCCCCTGCAGGTCCTGCTGACGGCTAGGGAGCTGGCAACCACAGGCAGAGGAACACGACAGAGACCTATCACAGCCTTAACCACCCAGCAACATTCTCCAGAGGTTGCTTGTCAAAGCCCTAATCTATCACTGTGCTTTTTTTCATAATGGCAGAAGCAAATTGCTAGAGAAGAGCAGCCAACAGGCCCCTCTGCAGGTGCACCAGTCTCTCTGTTTGTCTATGGAGGTTCCTCCCCATCCTCATTAACAATACAGCTCATCTACTGAATGTAATTTAATCAACAAATGGGGTTCTCCTTGGCAGGGTATCTTCAGCTGAAGAATGACTCCTCTTTGTAGTGATGGAGCTGTACAACCGCTTTCATTTGATTGAAAAAAAAAAAAAAAAAAAGCCCAATTAAATGCATAAATGTTTAAGTAAACCCTTTGGACATAGATCACTTAATAAAAGACAAATAAATATCCAATTTTAAAGAGAGCAGCAAACTTCTGGGCATTTCACAATGTCAGCTCATGTTTTCTAGAAAAGAGTACCCAAATCCATTTATATATAAATTAAAGGCACAGGTATTTTTCTTCAGCCTTTTAAAATATTGCTTTGGAATGTACACAGAAATGTGTGTGTTTGGCAGGGGCGGAGGGAGGGTGTCCCCTCTTCACAGTATGGGCTATCTCAGCACTATGTGGAGTGTCTGTTAGTCTAATGCCTTTTCAGAGTGCCTGAAGACATGGAGAAGCACTGATATCTAGCACACCCAGTAAGGATTAGGCCTTCTTTATGGGTTCTTTACATTGCTATTTATTTGTTCTATCTAGTTAGGACCACATTACGGGAAGTGGGGGTTTGTTTTGTTTTGGTAAAGCAAAAATTTTCATTTATTTGCTAATTCTGGACTACTTCTGGTTAACATTACATTTCACAGTGCACAATTCAGCTGCTTCCCAAGTGAGTTCTTGCAGTCCCTCCTCTGCACCTGCCTCCGGTCCTTCTCATCCTCCTATAAAGCAGATTGCAGCTCCTGGCTTATCTTTTCTACCTCCCACCTCAGCCATTTCTTCCCCTCACCTTTTTTAATCCAGAACAAATCTCAGTGCTGAATCTCCACCTTTGCTGGCTCTGTGGTTGAACCCGGTGCGCTTCGACCCTCCTTTCCTAATCTTGCTTTTCCTCAAGGAGGAGGCTGGATTCTGCCTGCTGATCAGCAGCCTTCTGAGCACTCTCTCCTTTGAGAGTAATCACCTGCGCTGAATTAGGCTCTGGGTGCCATCCTCGTTAGCACCCACAGCAGCAGGAGGTGGAGGACCAGCACTCCCACAACCACCATTTCCCCCATCAGCAAACCGGTGCCGGGCTCACGGCAGCTCAGCTTTCTGAGGGCAGATTTTGAATGCAGTGTGTTTATATGTGGTTCTTGAGACAACTCATTTCACAGATTCAGGAATAGAAAGCATATCATTGTGGCTTAATCAAATTAAATATTCAAATGAAAGCAATAATTACTTAAATTTGTCTGGAGACTTAGTGAGATTCAGTCTCTAAGACATCATTTTTGTCCTGTAGGCTATAATGAGTAAGCTAGTCTCTAATGATTCAGAAAAGACTAGCGGGTTTGGGTTATCACCAACCAAGAGGTATTTATGAAAGACAATGAGCAGTGTGGCTATTAAACGGCCCTCGGACAGTACCTCTTCTTTACGGATGACTTTGCTAACACGGCATCAACCAGGCACTGATATTAAGTAAAAAAAATCCAAGCCAAGCATTTAGATTCACTGCCAATGTGTGTGAAAAAGAGATGTCTAGTGGCAGAGCTGCCTGGTGGAAATCACTACAGCAAATTTCAGCTCTCATTATAATTTGTTAATTAATGTGCTAACATATGATTGCAGCAGATCGGTGAGACCAGCACTCCCGTCAAGTCTAGGCATGCATAACACATGCCTTGTGCTCCGGGTCCAGAAAACACAGTAAGAGTACATGCCTTCACAGTTAATGTAATACATGTCATGGTCCTTATGTGTACCTGGAAGGAAAGCTGTCAGCTGAAATTTTTCACATGAGTTTCTTCACTGCCTTTAATGGCAGAGTGATCCAATTTATGCAAATATCTGATTCATGAGTCAAGACTGAGGTGGCAAAGGCGGTCTCAGAGGCTCTGCTCTGACGGTGGGTTCGGCGGTATTTAGGGTCACAGTTTGTAACTGCCGAAGTGCTGTCTTCCAGGAGCTCAGACTGGCACGACACTCACCTTCCCGTGAGTTTGCAGAGAAATAACCTGGGAAGGTAATATTTTTCTGCACTCTGGGCAGGGCAATGGCTGAAGCCTGGGAACAAGCAGGCTGTCAGGAGACACAAGCAGGAATCACGGGACCAGAGCTGCTCACATGCTTGGCACGGAAGAGCAGGCATCAGCCTGCACCAGCAACAGGCTAGCCGGCCTCTGAAACCGGGGTGCTGCTAAATGGTCTGCTAGGGTCCACTTCAAGCTTCTGCACAGGATTGACAGTGAGCAGCAATGAACCCGACAGTTCCCTGCAATAGCTACTGCAGTGTTTTGCCCAGTCTCTCTACTATAGTCTTTGAGACACCTTGCCATGGAGCTGGGAATCTTAGTTCTGGGACATTTTTTTCCTCTAGCTAACTCTACATTTCTGTTCCCATTGCTATCTCTCCTTCATGTTCATATCTTTCAATTTATTAGGTGAAAAAAGTCACAAGAACTTTTTATACTTCACTCAGAAGAAAATTTAATATCAATAGCACAGAAGGATATTAGAGTTCAGAATAACAAGGTAAAGCCTCTCGAGCACGTTACACATCCCTGGGCGACACCATTAGTGGCTGCTGATAACAACATCAGTGGCAGTGGTAGAAATGTGTGCTGGTATTGGTAATGAGAGTTTCTGGTCCTATGCCAGATCAAATATACTCCAAACCACCACAGGAACAGTGTAAGGGAGGGTGACCTGGAGCATCTCTCCCACAGCAATACTTTCTTACCTTTCAACATCAGTTCATTTGCATACATTCACAAGAAACATCTCTGAGGTGGAAACAAACCTCCTCACTCCTGAAGCCTGTCAGAAGTATCAGTGTAAAATGAAAAGATACTGCAGCAGGTTTGTGTTTAACCCTAGGAGACCATTTTCATCCACTGTTCTGTCCACTGGGATTGCTGCCAGGCTACTACAAGCCCTGCACACACAGCTACGGAAAGGGTTTCCAACAGTAATCATAAGGGTTAGCTCACGTGGGCTGGAAATGGGGAACCGTGTGTGTCTCCATGCTTGGGAGTGGGAGCTCTCAAGCCTGCGGAGGGTCAGGGTGCCCAGTCTCTCCCGCTGCTTTAGGAGGATTGCAGATCCCCCTCTTCCCCAGGTAACACACTTCTGGAATACCAGCAGCTGCACTGATCCTTCTAGCTGAAAAGCGACCTGAATGCGCATTCAAACATCGGATCCTGATCATCCACATTAATGAATCCTTAGGTTGTTGCTGGGCCCCCCCCTGTTTTCTAGAGCCCTCTCTAGAGGTGGCTTGCCCCATACCCCATGGGTGAGCCCGGTTTGGCCATATCCCTGGCTCCCAACCAGTGCTCAGTGCAGTCATCAACAGTAAGACCAGTGGCTTGTTTGGGAGAAGGCTGACATAGGGAGCAAGTATTATTTGCCAGTTTCCCCAGGATGTAAATAACCAAAACCATACCCTTTAGGCTTGGGTTAGAAGGCCATAAACATGCCAGATTCCAAAGACAGCTAATTTCACTCCTTGTGAATTACCCTGACCTGTGCTGTGATACGATGCCTCTGCCTACTTTACCAAGATGTCCAGGAGCATTAGTTCCCTACTGCAAGACTATTAAATCTGACATCTTAAATACGTACATACATACATACATACATACATGTATTCCTCCATTTTCTTTTATAATGTTCTTCTGGAAAATATTTCCAGCAAATCTATCTGAAATCCCCTGCCTTAGCACAATACCCGAATGATGCAATATGAATACCCTACCACACACAACTGGGTTGCTTCTCCAAGACTGCGCTGACGCCTGGTTTTCTTTTATGGACAACACATAGAAGAGTCTAATACGGCTGAGATGCTCTGAGGATGACTCACCCAATTCAAACTGGCTGGAAAGGTTACCACAGGTTTGTCTGACCTCTTCACTGTCCCAGCCAAGAGGATAGAGGGCACAACCAGAGCCGATCAACAAACCTACAGAGAGAAAAGAAAATAGAAGTTTATACAAGAAATTGCCATTAACTTAAACACAGGCTGCCACTTGGGAATCAAGGTGTCAAACTGCCATTTGAGAAGCTCAGAGAAAAAAAAGTCATCTCTTCTTCTCCTAAAAACAGTAGAAAATCATTTGGACGTCTACTGATGCATTCTGCTACACTGTTTTACAGCTGGTCTGTGGGCTGGAGTCAGCCTTGGCAGTTCAGTATCAGAAGATATCCTCAGCTTGTGGAGCTTCTACCTGAGAGTCTTTAGACTCCCCTTCTACGCTGCACAAATACCTACACTGTTTGGGAAACTCAATGCGGGGTTAAATAGAAGCTGTGTTAATCACAGCATTTACAAGCTGATTGCTTCTGATTAATTAAAACAACAATCAACCAGGGTCTATCAAGGTTCTAGCAGGAAAAGTAAACTGACAGTTGTGCTAATTCATTGTGATTTCCCTCTGTTTTTCAACCCTTTCAAAATTCAGCGAAGAATGGTTTCATGTCACCTGGTTAATTCACACCACAGGTACACAGTCCACAGAGTTTTCTCAAACCATTTCAGCTAAAACTTCGGTCTAGAACCATTTACCTATTAACATGCCTGGCTTAACATTCGCAACGTGCTTTGCTTTCTCCAGCCCTCATGCTGCCCCAAACAGATGTGTTTTGGCTAAGTCTTTCCTTTCACAAGATCTTACTGGGAATCACCCAATGGGCCATGATTATTTTGCAGAAGTGGCATTTTTGTCATATTGCATTCTCAGCTGTCACCGCAGCAGCTGCCAAAAAGTGGGTGTAGCTGGCAAAGCTCCCTACACAGACAGCCTAGAGAGAACATTTCAGTGTATGCTACAGCAGTTAAAGGCTACCTCCTTGGTGTCAGATCTTATTTATAAGATTGGAAACAAATCACTGTGTAGATAATGGGCTGGGCACACCCCATGCTTTGCAGGCTGTAAAGGCAAGCAAGTCCTCAAAAAGTTTGCAGTGTGGGCTTGCAGTGGCGCCTTTTACCTGTTGGCAGAGCGCAGGACAAGGTTTCAAGCCCTTCAGCTGCTGCTGGCTGACTGCAGGCAAGTCCCTTGACCTCACACCACCTCACTTCTGCTCTCTTGACAATGAGAATAAGGACAATGTTCTCCCTGGCAAAGCACTTCTGCTGCTGTGCTCCTAGTGCAGAAAAGCCCCGGGTGTGGTGACAGGTACTGTGGACATCACACCAGTCTGGTAGGAGTCCTGAGAGTGATTCTGACTCAGGGCCTGGAGCTAGCTGTGCATTTCTGCCTACATCCTCAAGATGCCTAAGCTTCTCCTATTTCTGACTCTTCTGTGAGATACAGAAATCACTTTATTATGTTCTCGACTTGCTCAAAGACACACCTGAACAAGGCACTGAAGTCCAGAAGTGGTATCTCATCTCTCCCCAAAAGATGTTTAACGCTTTTAACATCTTAGCTGTTAGCAAAGTAGCTCAGCAACTCCTTTGCTTCTCCCTCTTCCAAGCACATCTGTCCCTGTTTAGGCCCAATACTAGCTCCTTAGATCTTCCTCCACTAAGTTCAGATTTCTTCTTGCTGCTCAAGTCTACTTCTTCCTTTCCTTGTTGAGCAGTCATTGCGGGCTCCTCCCTCTGTATCTACATCACATAATGAAAAAGAAATCCCTGAGGCAGCCCTCTCTCAGATGGTGCATTCACCCAACAGCTGTAAAAGGAGAAAAGCAATTAAGGACACATGAATGCTAGGTATTTTCAGAACTTTGTCTGACCTGAATATGGCTGCTTCTAATGTCCTCACTAATGACTTTCACAGCATCATCTGATTTTTTCCCCTAGGGCCGCAGAGCCGATGGCAGCTGGTAGAATCCATGTAAATGAGAGTTGCTTCTAATTAAATTCTCAGAAAGAATGTTTCTCAGACAAGAGAACTTAGTCTAAAACTGGGTCTACATTTGTTACAGAAGCTTAAGACCCTGGGAAAAAAAATGCTGGATTCTCACTTGAATTGTTAAAGCAAGAAGGAAGTTGTGAAGTGCTGACAGCATGGTTGGTGTGCTAGGACTGGGCAGGACCCCACGGGGCAAGGAGGAAGGTCACTACTGATTCCAAGAATGGCTGCAGAAGGGACGAAGAGCACCGAGGTGCCCGAGATAGCCCCGCAGACCAGTGGCCCGTGGCAGCCTCAGCCAGTCCTGCTGTGGTTCTGACCCCTTCCCACACTGGCCACGATGCCCATGACCAGCCTGCTGCCAGCCCAGGCAGACCACAACTCAGAAGCTGCTGCGGCCAAAATTGAACCGCTCTGGCTGGGCTGGTTTCAATCAGCCTGTGTCCTTGAACAGACTCCGGGACACCTTGCAAATGCTCAGAGGGGCTTCACTGCGAGGGGCAGGGAGACGTGTGTAGCAGTCAGGAGGGAAGGCAGGCTTCCCTCCGCCTGCGCTGGACCAGATGAAACTGCATCTAGCCCTTGCTCACAAAGAAGGTCCTGGGAAAGCCTCCTGCCTAATTCTTCCCGGCGAGCACAACAGCAGCACTGCAGGCAAGTGAAAGGACCATTAGCATAACAATGCTGCCCCTCCAAACCCAGAACAAGCTCTTACTCAGCACTTGCCAATTACTCTCCTCAGGTGGCAAGATGTCTAGTGCCCACTGCATTCAGAGGACTGTTTGTTTTCAGCTTTCTTTAGGTTTTGTTGCAGTAACAGGTTGTTGTTTGGGTTTTTTTCCCACGAATATTGCTCACAGCACTTTCCACTGCCACCCTCCAAACACAGCTCATCCTCTTCCAAACACGTGTACCTGTTCACTCCTTCTGCCTCTGATGTTACACTGGATGCAGTGACTGCAAGCCTTGGCAATTTATTTCCTTCCTTAGCCAGACCTCTTCATCCCCCCTGTCACACCCTCTTTCTCATTTCTGTACGCCCATCTCTGTAAGTCCAAAGCCCAGTTTCAGTGAAAATAAATTCTGGGGTTCAGCCAAAAATTCATTAGCGACGCAATATGCTGTAATGTTAAACTGCTCCAAAGGAACAACTGCCTCACTCCTGCATGGATGCCTGCCCTTAGAGCCAGTCCACACTGTCTAATAACCAGCTCACAGCACCCGCCGCTGAGCCGCACCATTCGCTGTGCCTCCTAGAAATAAATAAACCAAATACGGGAAAACTAGCGTGCTATGTCAGAAACCCTCCCTACTCCAGTGACAGCTGCCTCTCCAGTCGGGTATGGGCTTCAGCAGCACTGAGTTTCACTAATGGAGTACCAGCCACGGAGCACGGCAGCTTCTCCTCTGCCCGCAGCCTGCGCTGGCTGGGATGCTGAGACCAAACGGGAAATTGCCGCCTAATGCTGGTGCTGCCACATGGCCCCAGAGCAGGAGCAGCAGCATGTTTTACGTGTGAAGGACAAGGAATAAAGCCATGGGCGAGCTCACACGCTTCATTTAGCAAACATAAAACCTGCCAGAGACCAAAGGTGCTGCCAGAAGCATAGGGCTACATTCCCGTCTGGCAGAAAGGCTTATGCCTATAAATACTGATTTTGTCACAAGTACCAACTGGCCACAAGTCTTAAAGCTGTTGTTTTGACATCTCCTTTGATATCACTGGTTTTCAGCGCGTTTTGATTCACCTTCAAATATCTCCCTGTAGTGGTGCGTATGTACCTGTTGTGGATTTAGGTCTATTGACAAAGCAGTTATGCTCCCCCGCACTTCTTGCAGGCATGACGCAGGCCAAACTCAGGGATTTACCTTCGGTGTAAGACTTCCACAAAGCCTTAGAGCCTGCTAGTCAGTAAGAAAAAAATTCACACGTTTTGCTCTATGCCCTGAGGTATGTATATATGTACGAGCGTGTGAGTGTAATGTCCCATTGCTTTCAGCAGGATTCTGCATGACTTCAACAGGTCTGATACTGCCTTGGTCTGCATGGGCAGTGATGCTGGGAACTGGCTTTTCAGCTCCCTTATTTTAGGCACTAAAAGTGTGGAGTTTGTCTCAAAGCCCATGGGGTTAATGGGATTTGAGCAAAAGCCCCTCAGCCCCGTCTTTCCCTGTTAATCCATCCACCCCTGTTTGTAAGTAACTTTAATGTGTGAATCAGACCCTGCAAAAGCAAAAAGCCTGCATACTATTACCACTAATAATTCATACATGCTCACAGCCAATTTGTATGATCACAGAGAATGTAGATCATGCTGAACAGCTGCAACCTCAATTTAAAGACCTCAGTGAAATCCAAGGGCTGCAAACCCAACGGAAATCCTTAAGCTAATTTTGCAGCTTCAGTAGAGAGCTGTTACTGGTTTAGCTCAAGAGTCACATCATGGCCTGCCCTACAGTTATTGTATTTAGCCAGCTATGCTACCCAGGACACCACACCCATCTTTACAGCTGCTTGAAATGCTTAGGATGCCTATAACATTTCTTAAGAAAGTTAAAAAAAAAAAAAAAACACCAAAAAACAAACCAACAAAAACAAAAAACCAAAACACCCTGCTGTGCTGTAATTACTATCATCTGTCATCTTCCGTTATCCGCTACAGTCATTAAAAGAAACAGAAAGGGGAAGGAAATGTGCCAGCCCACAAACAGCACCTTTAGAAAAGGGGCTGCAGGTTCAAGGTGTGGGGGAGCCGGTCAGTGGGCTGGGGCCAGGCGGCAGCGGAGGTGCTGGTGGCCCTTGGCTGCTGCTTTGGACGACGTGCCGGGCACCAGTGAGGGTGTTGGCACTGCCAGACTCCAGCTCTTCGGGAGCAGCTCTGCGTTTGGGGAACGAAACGGGCTCCTTGCCTGAAACATGGCCATTGCAAGCGCTGCGGCTGGCTGGCTGCGCTCGCGAGGCGCGCGGGAGAGAGCCGCAGGGCTGGCTTAATGCAGCCAGCTCCGGCCGTGCAAAGCTGGGATTATGTGCTCGGCTGCAGTGTTTACCAGGGTCCCATTTAGCCACCAGACTCTCTGTGTAGTCCGTGCGGAGAGCTGC